GAGCCCGATGCGGGACTCGATCCCGGGACTCCAGGATCATGACCTGAGCCGAAGGCAGTCGCTTAACCAACTGAGCCACCCAGGCGCCCACAATCACAAGTTATTCTTATGTCCAGTGAAATCAGATTCCCTAAAAATTACTGCTTGATTGGTTGTTAGGTTAGTTCGTGTTACTCTATGTATTTGAAAGTAATGAAACATCCCATGGGTGTGTGTATGCTTCACTGAATATTGAAACTGATCATGAAAAGTTCTGTGACTTAATCATGATCCCTTGATGGTTACCAATTAGTCAGATTTCCACACGACTCAGTGATTGTTGTGGAATGAAATAATGCCTTCTGGCCTCAGTTGCTTTATGCTGCCAAGTGAAAGAAGACCGGACATGTAATTTATGGTTATGGATATGAAAGTAGGCATCTTTTTTTGTAATTTTTTTTTTGAGTATAGTTGACACACAATGTTACATTAATTTCAGGTGTACAGCATAGGGATTCAACTTCTCTATACGTTATGCTATGCTCACAACAAGTGAAGAGGGTGTCTCTTCTGTATTTAAAGATTGATAAAGTGTTCCTCTTTGTTGCTGATTTTTTAAAGTGAGACTGATCTATTCGCGTTCAGCAGGGGGCAGCAGAGGCAAAAAGAAGAGCTGTTCAGGAGCTGTGCTAGGCTGAGCACACTTTCTCTGCAGCCTGTAGGTCAAATCCAGGTGGGGTGGCGGTGCCTTCCATTGGGTCTGAGGCCTGTCCTTGCCCTGCTTGCTCTCCACCCCATAAGCTGCCTCCTGTGGATGTGTTGGATGTCTAGGTGCGGCACACATTGGGGTGCCCCCTCCTTGCACACACACACGTGCATATGCTTTAAGTGTGTAACATTTTCTTACAGAAACGTCCAATGTTCCTTGTTTGATCTTAGCTCCCTCCCATCCTTTGGCTGAGTATCGAGTAGGGATATGCAGTAAATATTGGACCATATTAGTCCTCATCTTGCTCAGACGTCATCTGAGTGTCATCTTGATATCTCAGTCGGAGTCTTTTCCTTTCTCGCATGCTCCCTGCCTTCTCCCAGTTGCTTCAAACTCCTATATCCAGACCTGGAAATACACCCTCAGAATGATCTTGAATTCAGCCTTCATTCCCAGTGGCCATTGCTATTGCTGTGCAGACCTTCTGTTCTGCCTGAGTTGTTATTTTAACAACCTCCTTGTGTGTGTGTGTGTAGTCCAGCCTCCATGCCACTGTGGGAATGTCGACGGACTCCTTTGCTCAGGGTCCTTCGGCGGGCTCCTCACATGCGCTCTCGAAGCGCTTCGTGGTCTGGCCCCGCCCACTTCCATGACCCACGTTCCGCCTCAAAGGCTGGAGGACAAAGGAGCCGACGACTCCCGAGCCCGAGCCCTGCAGCGTGCAACCGCTCCGCGAGGCATTTCAAAACTTGTTTAATCCTCAAAATGAGTGAGAAATAGCCAGCACCACTGTCCGAAGACGGGAAGGCAGGACAGCTGCGCTGGTTTCGCGCACGCACGCCTGGCCTGTTGCATCGGTGCCCGCTCTCGGAAGCGGCGCGTCCCCCCGCATGACTTGCGTCCCCCCGCATGACTTGCCTCCCCGTTAGCGGAAGGTGCCCTGTGCTTTCACGCGCCTCTGCGC